ATACATTATATGCATACATTACATATTACATTTGTATATATAAGGCTCTGCCTAACCCCAGAACCTACCCGAAACCAAAAGCCCCTAACAGCGATCACTGCAAACTGCGAACCGGGAATGGAAACGTTCCCAGCCTGCCATTGTGGAGGAAGGCAACTGACCGGGCGATACTGAGCAAAGCCTGCCGGAGGCATTTGGAGCATTTCAACCCTCAACCTTTCCATACTGTAATGGTGCTGCGCTGCTGACCCGAAACTATGTGACCCCATATATGGTCAGGCGTCTGGCGTTCCCAGCCCCCCCCCCCCCCCCAATGGTATGGTCTGACAGGGGTGGGGGGGGGTGGGGCCTGGCGTGTGCGGAAAGGGGTTGGGGGCCGTTGGAGCTGCCACTGGATGGTGGGGTGGTGCTGGCGGCCAGGGCTCACGCGCAAGCCCTTCGCAAGCAAGCCGTAAACCCTATGACGCACCGCGCGCCCCTGTTTTGAGCAACCTTAACTTGTACTTAAAACACTACACCCAACCCTAAACACCACCTAACTGCAGGCTCTAAGCCTAAAGCAGAGCATACACCGCAAATCCTCCCTAAGCCCTTGTCGACTCGAAGCCTTATACCTTGTAACCGTAAACCCAAAACTCAAAAGCTTAAGCTAAACCCGAAACCCCAAAACCCCACAACCACCCTACAGGAGGAAGAGGAACCCCACACCCCACACCACAGGGGAGGGGGGGGCCCCACCCTATATCCGGACCATTGACCTTTGGGGGGGGAGGGGGGGGGGGCTGCGGAGCGCGTGACCATATATCCACCACCTCTTTCGAAGAGCTTGCTGGTTTATAACCGAGAGATTTATGCCTGGCGTTCGGGGATATACGATCCAAGGGTGCCGGGCTTCAGCGAACGGTCGTTAGCGCGAGTACCGGTCCCAGGCCGCAAGCTCCACAACTGTCTGGTTGTGTCCTGTTACCTTGGCTTTGTGAGTGTGGGTGAATCCAGCTTAACCAGCAGAATTCCAAATGCCTCCACCGAACCATCTCAGCGCCCACTACTCAACCCACCAGCAAGTCGAGTCCAAACACAACCGAAATGCAAATATCCTGAACTCTACGCACTAAACACCCTCCCTGCTACCCTCCGCTCGACATCTGTTCAATGTCCAAGACGAGAAACGGAAGCAGAGATCAGAGTGGCATCATCCTACGCTGCTGGTGGTTGAAACTGACAGCACCATTGGCATTAATTAATTTAGTACTGGCGTCCAGTGCTTGTCCCTGCTGCATCCCCGTCCATCATAAGAGCGGACATTTCTTTGGCTACAGTCGCAAAATACCGAAACTGCCCCGAACTCTTCAGAATGCCTGATATAGAAGCCTGAAGCCTGACTAATTACTCAGAGGCTCCATAGTAGTTCCCTTTTGGGATTACCTTATTGGATTCTATATATGAACCACAAAAAGGAACTACTATGGGGCCTTCCTTTAAATATTAGGTGCCGTCCTATGTTAGGGACCCAAAACAGCGACCATAATTTTGATAACCACCCAAATACGCTTTGGCCTCCCAGTCGACTCCCTCAGCGAGCACCCTCGCCAGGTGCGCCCCCAACGCCTCTCGCACATCCGGCGCTTGCAAACCCTAGACCTCTTAGAGCTCCTTCTACGGGATCTATAAGGGCTCCTTCTAAGGGATCTATATAGGGGGTTTCTATAAGGGGCTCCTTTAGGATCTGCAGGGGGTTCCTTTGTAGGGTTGTTGAGAAACACCCCACCCTAAACCCCAAAGCAAAGCTAAACCCCTAGAGAGTTGTGGGTTGAAGGCATATAAAACGCGCATAAAAGTGCCTAAGCCAGAAACTCAGGGTTCGGGTTTGGATCTTGAAGGCTTCGTATACCCAGTCGAACAAACATGCGCAAATACCTGTTAGGCATCAGAACAACATACCTAGATGGAGGGTAAAAGTGCATTTTGGTGTTGGTGTGTGGCGGGGGGGGGGGGGTGTTGCTGTTGCCGTGGAGTGGGCATCTTTGTTTTTGCTGTTGCTGCTGGAGGGGTTCATTTTGTTGCTTGTTGGTGGGGCCGGGTGCTCAGATACCTCGTCAGTTCCTTGATATCTTGCATTCCTCAGGAGGCAGGCTCGCTAGCTCGACGCCTGATAGTGTCCAAATGCGCAGCATTGTCATGCACCTGGAGTCACCCAAAACATCCATTACAGCAGACTTCATGAGCCCAAATGCCGAAAGGCACAGCCAGATCATTGCATGCCTGCAGACACAAAACCCGAAACACCGTGGCAGAACTTCACTCGCTGGCTCACATATGCGAGAGTTCGCATGTGCCTGTTGCACCTCCTCCGGAGACGTGCGGACGCTCGCACAACCTCACGAACACCATAAGTTGCTGATTCGCAACGGGGACAGGGCATGAATACAGCTTTAAGATTATCAGAAGGCCCAAAAAGGGCTATAGACATCTTGACTTAATACTCATTGCTTGCACATCACAGTCTGTATGGGTTGGGCCTGCGAACACGCCCGTGTATCTGCAGCCAATGTGTTTAATACCGTCCTATCACCGAGATGCATAGACCAGGAACGGTGTATCCCCAAACCCACAGCCAAGGATGGGCATACACCTGACGCCTTAAGCTCAAATGCCTCAACCACATGTCCAAGTGAAACAAGAAGGCACCTTGTAGGGCAGGTGGATACGGCAGGTGAATACCAAAGCGAGACGGGGAAGAACCGTATGGGTTTCTGGCATGCAGTCATATGTAGGGCATTGGGTTTGGGATTTGACCCTGCGGCCACAAAAGGCCAAAGTAGGTACTACGGTTGATGATATACATCTTGCATTACCCATAATAAGGAGTATACCATAATTCCCATTGTTTCGGGTCCTTAAGGTAATGCAGGATTTATATCATCCACCGTATTTACAAATTTAAGAGCCCAAAGCTCTTGGCGCTCTGGACCCGCAGAGTCGGCGGTGCACCCCTCCAGTTTCCACCTGCCTTGCCCCCATGTCCTTCTGTTGAGTAGCGGGCTACTCTTACCTTTGGTTAGTAGGGAAAGGAGGAATGGGGTACATCATGACTACTACTACCATCTTCCATTCCCTACCAACCAAAGGTAAGTACTGGGACTCCCATGAACCTATAATGGTGGGACTCTGTTCCTGAAGCCCGAAATCGAGCCGTCTGTATGCTCGCAAGCAACCGACTATGGAGGTACCATCGGGGCCTCAATATTTAGAATAGTGTTTTCGGATAGTACACTATACTATGACTATAATAAGGACACCCCCAAAAAAAAACAAAAAACAACTAGCGTAGGCACTTATTAAGACCCCTAGATGAATTCCTCAGTCAGGGCCCTGCTTGCAGCCCTGAGACTGGCCAGGAGACGCTGCAGCTCCAGCGACGACAGCTCCTCTGGCATAAAACGCAGTTTCATGAAACATCATAGCCCTTTAGGGTTTAGGGCTTAGGGTCGCATCGCCTGCGATCCTTGCTCAATCATCGTCTCCTCGACGCCTGAAGCGGCCTGCAAGCGGTTCTGCAGCGATTGGCTGCGCGTACTCCTTGCCAGGTCGGGTGTGCCAGGGTTTAGGGTTTCGGCTAATATAGGGACAGTTGGAATAGGGTTTTGGGGCCCATTATACGATAATTACGTATAATTAATGAGGAACCCCCACAATCAATATTGATAGTTACTTGGACACCCATTTTATTGCGTTATCATGCATCTCATCATCCACATGGACTCTATGGAATCTCATCCTGACGTAAGAATAGCTAGGGGGCCGGATCCAGCACTCTCAAGAAGTACCAGTTCCTATGCCCGAAGTACCGATACGGACCACAAACCTCGACTGCGAAATCGCGTACTTCTCTCCCAACATCCCAAAGCACCAACACCCAATCCCGAAACCCATTTCGCCTGGATGCGAGGGCCTCCTTCTGCGTGGTTTGGAAGCACCTGAGGAGGTTAAAAAGGTAGTGGTATCGTAGGGATAGGGATTGGGAGTGTAGGGTTGTGGGGGTCCTACTTTGCAGTGCCAGGCCTCGTTAAGGACTTATGCTGGCTTCTAGGCTGCTTGTCTGCGGACCTGGTATTGAGTTAGGGTATGCAGGCTTTTGCTGAAACAACGGTGGAAAAAGGACCAGCAAAGGCCTTGCCAACTTAACCAACAAACCCAGCCTAAACCCCTAAACAGTGTCTTTGTGACACGTGGAAACCCGAAGAAGACAAGACAGGTTTTCAGGACAAATACTATATATATATATCCTACATGCAACTCACTAGAACCTTGAAGTGATATCAACAAGATCATGTAGAACCCTTCCTGCAGTGGCTTTCACCGTCGAATTCCCAGAGTACCCGTGACGTACCCACACAGTTCCGAGCTACCCCGTAGAAACCCTAAACCCAACAGACTAACAGAAACAACCTACACTCCCAGCCCGTCTACCTCGCCCACGGACAGCGGGCCAGGGAAGCCACATGGCTCCGGCCCATCGAAGTGATTTCCACACGCAAGGTTACGGCGCTGAAACACTGGATGGGTTTTGGGTAAGGGGTTCAGGCTTGAAGGTTTTTGGGGGTTAGGTTAAACTAAGAAGGCAGAGGGTTTAGGAAGCTTCAAGGGTTTGGGGTTTGGAGGGAAAGAAGCTAAATCCTTAAGCTATGGAGTGCTTTGGCTTTCGAACTCCAGGGGATCCCTTCAGTAGGGGGTTTCCTATGAAAGGTCCTAACAGTTTGGGCCTTTCTGAAGTGGGGTCCCGTATTCTCAATGCATCAAGCAAGCTGCGGCGCAACATGCTGGGATATTTTTCTCTAGTGTCCAAACATGAAGCATGAAAGTTTTGAGGAAGTGAAGGACCGGAGCCGCTGACCCTCTCAAGGTCAGCAAATGCCCGGTGCCCGTGCGCTTCGAAGTTACTGAGGAGATCTGTCCGTACGATTTCCAGACTTTGTGAAATCGGAGACGCATATACGTATTTCTTCTTGTGGTGGCTTTGGTGCATGCCTCTGGCTCTTCCTATACCTGCCTTAGAACCACAATAGAATACTATTCTTAATATTCTCTTGGGTTTTATATGAACAAAAATAAAACACTATTCCTAAGGAGACTATAGCTTCGACAATGTTCTGGTAGCGCTCACGAATGTCCAGATGTTGCTCGCCCCGAAAGTCAAGCACGTGGTCGGTCACGACCATCCCCGGTCATGTATGCCTATAGCCATAAAGCCCTGAACCCCACAATACTAAACGTGCAAACCTTACATCCCAAGCCTTATCTTTTTACTACTCGATGGAGCCTCTTGAAGCTCCTCCTTCTGGCAATCTGACACTTTTGGGCCTGTGCTGCCCAAGTTGCGCAGCCCTCTGGGGATACCCAGAGATTTCCTACAAGAGTGCCCGAAGCCATATAGATACTTATTATAGTATCCTGAAAGGTATATCATACGGAACCCTCAGGGAAGTATTGCTAATCCTGCAAGCTTGAATTTTTTTATACCCAGATTGCCCAAGTACAATTCGCTCCTACATGCCTCCATGCCTGTGAGTGAAGGCAGATGATCATTCACATCACTCCGCCTGCTGAGGAGCTCGCCAAGTCCCTGTTTTTGGGTTAACCTGCACTGCCGGATAGCACAGCATGCACACCTTTGTTTTTCCAAGACAGTGTGCTAGAACGTCTGTGAAACCGAAGATTGTCATAATATGCACAAGTTGGGCATAAAGGAAAGTGTAAAGAAAGAACAATGCCGAAGTGCATTGCAAAGCTACTTCGAACTGCCACCTGAGTCTCATCCAGCTGGAGCCTTGTGACTTCCTCGCTCATCTCGCCTGCCAAGAATCGTGCGATGTGTGCAAGAGAAGCAACTGTATGAGCATCGTTCTTCTTAGCGGTGTTGTCATGAGGCATAGTATTTGTATGAGCGATTTATGTTACTACTGCTCGCAGCAGTCGCATTCGCAGCAGCAGCAGGAGGAACAGGAGAAGCAGTACCAGCAGCAGTCGTGGTCGCAGTCGGAGCAGGAAGAGGCATGGTGGTAGTTCTGTTGTTGCGAGTCGTACTACTACTATCATTATTCTGACTGCTAGTCGTCGTCGTAGAAGTACTACTACAAAAAATAGAAATCTACTTCTACTTCTACTTCTTCTACTACTACTACTACTCCTACTACTACTGCCACTGCCACTGCCACTGCTACTGCTACTAACTTCAGCAACATCACTGCAGTACGTACTCTTAGCAGCAGTAGCAGCAGCAACAGAAACGGAAGCCGCAGCATTGGCACTACTAACGAGGTACCGGCAGCGATAGTGGCATGTTTGTGGAACCGGCAAAAGAGAAACTTTTCCAGCACATTCCAGCACGATGTGATGAGTCGTGCAAGGCATGCCTGCTTGGACAGCTCCCTTGCATGCGCTTAGGTTGCCTTGCAAGCTGCTAACCGGTCTTTCGCCTAAACGATTGCCAAGGTTTTTACTGCACAGTTGCGCCTGGTTCTTGCAGCTTTAATCCAAGCTGCCAACGTATGTGGCGACTTGAGGCAATGCTACGCTGAAGGCATGAAGAGCGCCAGCTGCCCTGCCGTGATCCCTACAAGTCTTTAAGGACATATAGACTTCAGGACACATACGACCCATTCAGGGTCGCTGTACAAAGGTGCATAGACTGCCCAAAGTGCTTTGCAGTGCTGCACGCCCATGCCCAAACTCAGACTCCATGACAGGTCTGCTTGGCGGCGGGTATCGGAACGCAGCAGCGAGCACGAATGGACCTAATTCGCCGAATTACAGTGTCCGAAGTCTACCTGTGCACGGGAGGGTAATGCATGCCCCTCCCGTGATGGCATACAGAAACAGCCGCCGGCGAGCCTAATACCGCAAGGCCGGCGAACTCGTGGAAAAGGAGGGCGAGACCCTCGACATTACCAAACCTCCCCGTGGGCTAGACTTTACAGCAGCCCAGAGGAAGCAAAACTTCGACTGACTAATACTAACTATGGGAGCTTGAAAACTATATAGATGCGCCCATGACACACCAGCCGACATACGGCATGCTTTCTACCTACTCTTCTCAAGTTCACCCACACGCACTGGTGTCCAAGCCATAGTGCTCTCGTGCTGCTACTGAATCCCTTTTGTGCCGTGCTTCGTGGTCGCGATGCAGCGTGGACTGGAACTGACGGCACTGATGCAGCACATACATCATAGTTGAGGTATACATGTCAGGCAAGAGAGAGAAGTAGAGCGCATGATCTGCCGCCCTGAGCTTCTCTGGGAGGGTCATGCTTATAATCTCCGTCGGATCGTCAGGGGACACTTCGATCTTCAATTTCTCCACTAGCGCATCCATACCCGCCCTGCTGAGCATGTAGCCATAGGCTCCCGCCGTGTACCCGAACTGATTGAAGCGAACAAATGGCTCGGGTTGCCTCCAGATCCTTGGTTCTAAGCGCCCGGGGGAACAGATCTAGACTCGAGACTCTACTCATTCTGTAGTATTCCTATAGGTGTGTGGTTGCGAATTACAGGAAGCAAGATCCGAACAACAAGAGAACGAACAGTATAGTAGTCCAGAACCCAGGATCCTGTTGCGGACATCAGTGCGCTTTGCTCCGAAACCGAGCTGAATGCCCTTCCAACCTTCCGGAGCTGCTTGTGCCAACTCTCGCAGAGAGAGCTTCCATAGAGGATGAGTGTCGAAGTTGACATCATCTTCCAAGAATACTGCAAGATCGAAGCCCATTTTCCTCGCAGTCAAGATCGCCCTCATATGGGAGAGCGTGCATGCAAGAATCACCTTGTCCTTGCGTTCGGTGTATTCAACTCGATGTCCAGTCTCATTCAAGACGGTAACCACAGACACACGAGACAAGTCGGTCATAGCTTCGACCATGTAGTTGCTCATCACGCCGCGGAGAGACTTCTTCATGAAGGCTTGCCGTGGGAGCGACTCTTTCATGGAAACCCAGAAGAAAGGAACTCCATAGGTCAGGTCGCTGAGAGTTCTTCCGCTCGGCTTCAGCCCTGTCAGTGCAAGTCCTTCTGGATTGAGAAGCTTCAAGAGGTCCTGGGCTTTTCGCAGAGTCCCTTCCCCAAATAAACCCACTGTCTGCTTCTTCCTCTTGTCGGCATATATACTAGACTATGCGAAGATGTTTTCGCAAAAAAAAATCAAGAACTGCTTGGGATCCGCCGGATTCTTGAACATTCCCGGGGGCGCAAGCAGACATGCCGTGACGACGGTGACGAGTGCAATGGCCACGCACCTTCGGTTCTCTTGGGGGGTCGCGCAAGGTCGCGCAAGAAAGACTAGCTGCACTTCTCCAACCCTAAGGCCCGAAACCCTCGAAGCCCCCAGAAATAAAGTCCAGGCACCTGGCGATTACAGCCCATAGTCTCTGCCGCCCAGAGGCTTGAGGAATGACAGTGTCACCTCGAAGGGCACATCCGACAAGCAATGGTTCCCAAAACCCTGCCCTGGAGGCTTTAATGATTTGAATACGGCCTTGTGTCCATCATTGCCTGGGTTTCAGGTACCACAAGGGGGAAGCATTACTTAGCATTCTTCCGACCTGGCTGCAATGATCAACGGACTTCCCCCGCTGGGTTAAAAGATGCTAAAAGCAGGGTAAATCTATAGTGGTTTTGAGGTTCGCTCAGGGCTTTGTTTTTTCTACCCCCAGTTGGCATACTTGAAGCCCTATAAAAACCTATTGAGATGATTGGGGAGTAACCTAGAACCCTTGACAAGCCTCTTGGTTCGATGTGTGGTCCACTTAGATTCAATTTGGTGCTTAGGCTGGTGGGAACTTTGGCATACCCTCAGCTGTGAGTGCCCGAAGAATAGAGTGAGCTGGGGCCATGGAGCATGGTTCGCATGTGCTTCGTTCGCTGCCGGAGTGGTTGCATATTTTGATTCGGGAGCATTACGAATGGGCGCACTTCAGGACGGGCACATGCAAGAGAAGAATCGTCGCAGGAATCTCGATGTGATTCAGATTCACAGCGTGGATGGCTAAGATCGTTCGCTCTCTGATTTCCTATAAGACCTTCCAAGATCTCAATCGGGTTCAAAACCCTACAAAGCCCCACAAGAGCACATCCAAATCCTCGCCTGCCGTCATTGAAGGCTCCGCCGTTCGAAAGATGTGGGCGCTTGATAAATGGCTTCGAACATATGGGTTTTAGGCTTCAGGATGTAGCTAGGGCTTACACTTAGAGTTAACTAAGGCTTCAGGTCGGGTTCAGTCAGGAGTCAGGTGTAAGGGCTTGGTCAGGATTTGTAGTTTAATGTGTAAGGGTTACGGTTCAGGGTTCAGGGGCTTTGGGCCCCCCTACATTGAACGGGACATGTGGAGGTTTCGAGGGATTCGAGACACCTGGCGGTTCGCAAGAGACGAAATGCACTCCGGCTAGTTTTCTGGGAAAGAGGGTGCATGTAGCAGGGATTGGGGGTAAGGCTTCCTGGGGCCTGCTTCGCTTTCCAGGCCATGCAGCTTTCGCCTCTGTAATGGTGCAGTTAGATTACTCGGATTCGGAACAAGGAGGCATCGAACGCGCTAAGTGCAGATGTCCGAAACACCCTCAACATCGAAAAGACCTGATCAAACCTGCTTGTGGGATTCGAACAACAGGCAGCAGGGCCCCTTACATACAGCCACGCGGACATAATGGGATCCTTACCGTAAGGATCCCCCGAAACGGATCCCGGATGTCAGAAAAGCCTACTTGCCGGAACTTCATAAAGCATCAGCCCAACAGCCTCTCGATAAGAGCGGGCGCAGCGGTGAAGCCACATGGCGATGTATTCTAAAACCCTAAAGCCCCTGCCTAAAGCCAACCTAAACGGCCCTAAACTTGTAGATATATAAGAGCTATATATACCAAATTTTCTGCCCCGGCCATATACTGACACCAAACACACAACACCTTACAAAGGGCTGTAGCTTCTTTGAGCTTTCAGGTGATCTACTGTCCGGGGTTTGACTTTCGGCAGTATAGTTGCCTTGCTATGAGGGATCGGGCCCGAACCTGTCAACCCTACGTCCGAAAATCCTAAACCCCAAGCCTACATCCTTGCATGTCTGGCTTCGAGTATAGGGCTTTAGAGCTTTCTGCGGTTGGGGTTTGACGCCCCTGCGGATCTGACGACTGTGCTTGCATAATCCGAAAAGTGCAAAGCACGAACCCACAAAGCTATCCGAAAGCACGACATGCAAGGCTCAAAGTTAAGATGTTGGGGACTGATGCAACACGTAGTTAGCTGCAGATACCCTTAGAGCGAGTGGGAGCCTGCAGTATATTCTGGGCTTACAATTCCAGCATTCCCTCATGCAAACTGATACACCGCCCGTTCACAGCAGCCGGGAAAGAGATTTCGCGCGGAAGATCCGAGACCCGCAGTACTGTTACATCTGAAGAACCTGCTGGCCCAAGGCATTTCGGTCATGTTGAGTGCTTGATCTCATCCGAGAACGACAAGATCTTCTCCGTGGCTTCAGATGGCGCCCGGAATGGGACCCTGAGCTCTAACGGACGAGGAAGCACTAAGACTCTTCAGCGATTTCGAGTCTCTAGAACCCCCCTTGGTCAAGAAGGGACTAGTGGCGAGATCCGGGTTCCCAAACTTCTTGCAGGGCGGGTAGTTGGGGGTCTGTAACATCCAGAAGTTCTGCCTGTGCTCTGCTCTAAGCCGACTCTGCACCTTTCGTCTCATGGCAGGTGACGGAATCGAGTCTCTGGCATTCCCTAGCTGAAAGCCCCCCAAGTTCTTGCGCAAGTGATCTTGAACAGCGAACATCTGTAGCTCACTGGGGCATTGAACCCTCAACCCTAAAACTCCAAAACCCTAAGGCCATGAAATGGAGAAGGCCCCGGCGAAGAGAGCCCAGCAACCCCTAACTAAAGAATATTGAAGGTCTCAGTGCATGCTATATGGGTGCTAGCTGCTAGCAGGACTTGCAAGAAATATACCTGAGCCATGTAAGGCTTGCTACCATCACGATTTCCGGTATGTTCCTCTATTGGGGCTTCCAGGGTTCGGGAACTCACTTGTGGAGTTCACCTACTCAATCTGCGCTTAGTCGCCGCTCCGGCGGAGGCCTTCCTTCAGAGCTCCTCCTGCGCACAGCATTTCACATGGGTCCGAAGTGCCTAAGGGGGATGCTTACTAAAATTGTCATAGTAAGTCCGGCTACACAAGCGCCGTACTTTGTAGTAAACTTAGGTATTTAGGACCCTCTTGGAGCTGCTGAGGGCTTTGAAGAAACGATGTTGCATGGGTCTCACAAGCATGCAACTGTCGGGTTAAATGTCACGGCCTTGGGTTCGAGGGCACAACTCACATCGCTGTCGTTGTGCTCCAATTTAGCCTCTTTGATCTGTTTGGG